ATATTTATGTGGCACAACCTAAAGGATTTGAAGATCCAGTTCATCCAACTCATGTCTACAAGCTCAGAAAAGCTCTATATGGGCTCAAACAAGCTCCAAGGGCATGGTATGAACGTTTGACACAGTATCTGTTGCATCATGGGTATAATCGAGCGAGTGTCGACAAAACCTTGTTTGTTAAAGCCACTGGAAGTCATGTTACTATAGCTCATATTTATGTCGATGATATTGTTTTTGGATCTACTCTACAGAAATATACTGATGACTTAGTGAAAGTCATGAAAGAAGAATTTGAAATATCCATGGTTGGTCAACTGACTTACTTTCTAGGACTTCAAGTTAAACAAAGTCCTGAAGGATACTTTATCTCACAAGAAAAGTATGTTAAGAATCTGGTCAAGAAGTTCGATTTGGAATCATGCAAAACAACCAGGACTCCTATTTTCACCTCCACAAAGATATCAAAAGATGATACTGGTCCATCAATTGATAGCACAGTCTATCGAAGTCTGATTGGAAGTCTGCTCTATTTAACCGCCAGTCGACCAGATATAATGTTCAGTGTTGGGATGTGTGCAAGATATCAATCTGATCCCAAAGAGTCACATTTGATAGCTGCTAAACGGATCTTGAAATACACAAGGGTACAATTCAATATGGGATATGGTATTCCAATGACAGCAAACTCAGTCTGATTGCATACTGTGATGCTGATTGAGCAGGAAATATTGATGACAGAAAAAGTACATCAGGTGGATGCTTCTTTGTTGGTAAGAATTTAGTATCATGGCTAAGCAAGAAACAGAATTCAATCTCTCTAAGTACAGCTGAGGCAGAATATATAGTAGCTGGAGGATGTTGCACTTAACTTGTCTGGATGAAGCAAATGCTTCTAGATTATGGTCTCACCCAAAGGACTATGACACTTTATTGTGACAATGTCAGTGCAATAAACATTTCAAAGAATCCAGTTCAACATTCCAGGACTAAGCATATTGATATAAGGCACCACTATATCAGAGATTTGGTAGAATCAAAGGAGATAGAGTTGGAATATATTCAAACAGATAAGCAATTGGCTAACATACTAACTAAGCCTCTAGACGCAAATCGGTTTGAGATTCTCAGATCTGCTCTGGGGATCTGCAGGATTGATCAGTAAGGCAGAACGGTAACATAGAAGGAGAGTGTATGATGTCCTCAATCTCGGGTCAAAATTACATCTTTGACTTCCTTTTTAATCTCTCTTCTGTTTTTGTTAAGATAATATCTTAACCTTGATTACCAAAATTAAATTGTCCCATTCAAATTTCAAATCTTCCGTTTCATCCCTAAAATGGAGCTATACCGTTGCGTCAATCACATCACAGCTGCATGCATTCTGGCAGCCGCATTGAATAGTGTTCATCACCCTTGGGATTATCTTTTTCATCTGATCAATATTAGTAGAAGAAGAGTTCTAAACACTACTCTGTTCTCTGTTAATCCTCTACTGGTTCTCTGCCTAGGGTTTCCTTTCTCTTCCCCAAATCTCACAAATATGGCCGATGCAGTAAGGAATATCATTATCAAGTTGGGAAGGAAAATCCACACACCAGAAAACGTAACGAAGCATGTGAAAACTCTCCTCCAACTCGCAATGAAGAAAAAGTTGAAACTGGACTCTGCTCTCCGCGATGAGATCATAGTGACGGTGATTTCAGACTACCCTGAGTTCTATGCGGACTGGTCGGATGATGATACAAGCTATCTTCTGATGTTGGCCTCAGAAGCAAGTGACGATGTTAGCCCTGCCTCTATTGCTGAACTTGAAGATGGAAACCGAGCTGGGGCTTTCCTCCAATATTTTGCCCAAAGAGCTCTGGAATCGGAAGAAGTCTCGCGTCGAATGGCAGAAGCCCGTCCTCTCTACCTTCAAGCTGCACAGGACGAAGCCAAACATCGTCTTGAGATTCTACGAAACAGGTCAAATACTTCTGAAACTCCTATTGAGATTTCCCCTGATAAGCCTGCTGATTTACTTTATGATGATATTGAGTCTGCTCTGCCTGTTGCAAAACCTGATACTGAAGATACGCTACTGTCTGCTAAGTCATCTATGTCTAATGATCCACACCAGTTATCTTCTGAAATGGTTAAGTCTGCAAAAGTTGTTCTTGACAGTGAGTCGAAAGAAAAAGGTCAAAAATCTGATAAGGTAGATAATTTGAGTCTGGTTGTTTATTCGGCTGATAATGTGCGATCTACGCTTTCTGTTGGTCCTATGTCTGATGTTGTTAAGTCCACTATTGAGGTTTTCCAAGTTGATGATTCACATAAGGTATCCGCTGAGATTGAAGCTGAAAAATCTATAAGCCCTCGTCCCTCTGATTCGAATGATGGTGTTCCTGTCTATACATCCACTACCTTGGCTGAGAGTCTTGATCACATTCGACACTTTGCAGGTTTACCCTCTACCTCTGTGGCTGAACCATACAGAGTCATTCATCCTACTGATCCTTCTGTGCCGATAGACAGTGATGATGAGAAAATTATGGCTGAAGTATACGGTCCACAAGCCCCATCCTCTGGTCCCATTGGGTCCCTTACAGTGGAAGAGACATCACATCCGGATTCCACTACCTTCAGAATTAGAGAAGTTTCCAAACTTCTTGCATCTTCATCTGCTCCTGTGTCTGAGACAAGCAACTCAGTTTTTCCGAGCCCTTCTGATCATTCTCCTGCTAGAGAAACAAGGAAATCCAAACGCAAAGATAACCCATAAAGAGTAGCTGTGAAAACTGGTGATGATAATATTGAAACTGTTCAACCAGAGAAAAGACGAAGATCAGCCGAGTCAGTGCAGGCTGGGAGTGACCCACCAGTCCAGCAAGTGTTTAAAACCTTGAGATCGTCAGTTAAGAATAAGGCTTCTGCAACTGTTTCAACCATTGCTACCAGGAAAATGAAAGCTACAACCCAGTCAAGAGGAAGGAGTGTCACTCCTGATGTACAAGCTGCGTCTGACAGTCCTAACACCTCCATTTACAAGCCACAGTTTGTTTCTGCAACAGCTCAAGGCAAGTGGTCTACTATGGTGAGACGAGAGCTTATTGTTCAGAGATCTGTTGATGAGAATCAATTGAATTCTGTCTGTGATATTTTACCCCTGCTGAGTGAGGTTGGCCTACTGAAGATTGTAACGTCCATTTGTCCCTACTCGAAGCTGTTGACCTACGAGTTTTACTGCAATCTGAATGAAGAAATTGACAACCTTACTGGGACACAGTGCCAGCAGATTTTCATCAGAGGGCAGTGGTATGTGTTCGGCCCAGACATGATTAATGACTACTATGGCTTGAAGGCTGTCGACGAAGAAGAAATTACAGATTGGGATTTGGTTGTAAGAACTCTCACTGGTGGTCAGACTCCGGTATGGCCTACGGTTGATCCTGACACCCTGTCAAGCTCGGTGTTTACCTCCAAGTATGTTATCATGCACCGTATTGCTCTGCACAATTGGCTCCCTTCTGCACACTTTCATACTGTTGGGAAGCAATTGGCTGCTCTTCTGTTCAGAATCAGCACCAAGATATCAATTGATCTGGGAAAATGGATCTTCTATCATATTATCACCCTGATTCATCCAAGGGAACAGAAGGTAAGATTGCCTTATCCTAATCTCATCTTTGGAGTTCTGACGTCGCAGGGCCTGGTACCAATGCAAAGTGAGATTATTACTCCGTCTCTGCTATATACCCCGTCTCTGGTATTCAATCAGGATTTTTAAAGAATCTTTAAAAGTCGTGTGGTATTCGATTAAGACTTTTAGAGTCTTTAAAAGTCATGTTGTATTCAAAAAGTTATGAACTTTTGTAGACTTTTTAATTTTAAGACTTCTGTAGACTTTTCCTTCTCAAATATAAATAGTTGAAATCCAACCATCAATCCCAAGATTTCAAATTTTCTTTCTAACAACTTTGAATGTTTTCTCTCTCTATTTAAACTCTATTTTTTCTCTCTATTTAAACTCTATGAACCTATCTAAATTCAATAAAATTATTTTTTTTCTTCATTATCCTATATTTTTCTCATACCTAAACTCTACCAATTGTTCTCTCTCTCCTAAACTTTAGAATCTTCATCTAAAAATTCAAATAATTTTTAATTCATTATTGCTGTTTATATTGATTTTTATTTTTTTTTCTATGAATTTTTTTTATCCCTTACTTTCTCTAATTCTCCCTAAATACATGAACAAAGCAAATTTTTCATCGTCACATTTTAGTATATGTTTCATAATATTCATATAAATACTTATATATTTTGATTTTTATTATTTTTATGTTTATATTTGTAATATATATTTTCCCTTTTTTTTAACAACAGGTTACTATGAATAGCGAATTACTGTTCGCAACAACAATTTGGGGTTGCAAATAGTAGCACATTGTTGTTGTTTGCAGTCTCAAATTGCTATTGCAAATAATAGTTATTTGCGTGATGCCTAGTAATATATCAAGTATTGTTATGTGTGTGTGTGTATATATATATATATATATATATATATATATATATATATATTAGATTTTTATTTTTTTATTTTATGCAACTTATAATTATATTTTTAAATATTTTATTTGATCGAGTCTTTTATTATAAATTTTATTGTTCAATATTGTTATGAATATATATTGTATTCAATTTAGAATTTCAATGACTTTTATAAATTTTTTAAAATAAAAAGTTGATAAAAGTCTATGAATGTTTTTTATATAGACTTTTATAGAGTCTTATAAAGTTTTAAAAAATTTGACTCTATGAAAGTCAATCAAAGTTTATTAAAATCAGTCATTTTAAAAGTCTTTAAAACTATACAAAGTCAATGATCGAATACACCCCTCTAAAAATAAAAATGTCCGTAGCTATAATCAAGAATAAAATGCATTTTTTGTTTCCCCTCTTAGCAAAAATGTAATTCCCGCCAACCTGTGTGCCACTTCGCAACTCCTTGCCGCCCAATGATCTGCAGAGCCGCAGCAGCCACCGTACTGCGAGATAGAAACTTCTTTCTCAGCCTAATCACCAAGGCTGCGAACCTCTCTCAACTCAACCAAACTCACGCTCAATTGATACTCAACGGCCTTGGCAACGACCTAATAGCCGTAACGAAGCTAACCCAGAGGTTCTCTGATCTCAATGCCATAGCCCATGCCAAGCTCATCTTCAACGCCTTCAATTGCGTCAGCCCTCCTGATCTATTTCTTTACAATGTTGTCCTCAGGGGGTTCTCTCAGAACAACTCGCCCTTTGATTCTCTCTCCATGTACCTCCACCTTCGCGGGAAAACGAAACTTAAACCGGATAATTTCACGTACGCGTTCGTTGTTTCGGGTGTTTCTTCATCTGGGTATGAGAAGTTTGGGGGATTGCTCCATGGGCATGCAATCGTTTCTGGGTATGGCTCAGATTTGTTTGTTGGTTCTGCTTTGGTGGACATGTATATGAATTTCGAGAGAATTGGTCATGCGTGCAAGGTGTTTGATGGAATTACTGGTCCGGATACTGTGGTTTGGAACACCATGGTCTCTGGGCTGGCGAGGAATTGTTGTTTTGATGACGCAGTTCGGGTTTTCCGCAATATGGTTGTGAGTGGGACTCCATTTGATTCTACGACGTTGTCTGTAGTTCTTACAGCTGTGGCTGAGCTGCAGGCGTTGAGACTGGGGATGATGGTTCATTGCCTTGCTGTAAAGGCTGGGTATCATTTTCATGATTATGTGATTACAGGGTTGATATCAGCCTATTCAAAATGTGGGGATGTTAAAACTGCAGAGATGTTGTTTGAACATATTAGAAAACCAGATTTGATTGCATATAATGCAATGATTGCTGGGTTTTCCTGTAACAATGAGATTGAATCTTCGGTGAGGCTATTCAATAAATTGCTTGTTTCAGAGCAGAAAGTTAAATCTAGCACTATTGTTGGTTTGATTCCAGTGTATTTTCCATTTGGTCATCTAGATCTTACTTGTTCAATACATGGTCTTTGTGTGAAAACAGGGATGATTACAAATCCATCAGTTTCTACTGCACTGACTACGGTTTATAGTCGCCTGAATGAAATCGAATCAGCTAGGCAGCTGTTTAATGAATCCCCAGAGAAAAGTTTGGCTTCTTGGAATGCTATGATATCGGGATATACACAAAATGGTCTGACAGAAATGGCAATTTCTCTCTTTCTTGAAATGCAAAAGTTAGATATCCATCCCAATCCTGTCACAATCACAAGTATACTTTCAGCTTGTGCTCAACTTGGAGCTCTAAGCATTGGAAAATGGGTCCATGAATTGATAAACAAGGAGAATTTTGAGTCCAACATTTATGTTCTAACTGCTTTAGTTGACATGTATGCAAAGTGTGGAAGCATTGACAAGGCTCGGCAATTATTTGATGCTATGCTGGAGAAAAATGTAGTCACTTGGAATGCCATGATTTCTGGTTACGGCCTACATGGATATGGCCGTGAATCATTAATGCTCTTTGATAAAATGCTTGGTTCTGGAGTTCACCCAACCGGAGTTACTTTTCTTTCTCTACTTTATGCTTGCAGTCATACTGGTTTGGTAGTAGAAGGTGAGAATGTTTTCTATTCCATGGTTCATAATCATGGCATTAAGCCCCTGTCTGAACATTATGCTTGCATGGTAGACCTCTTGGGCCGAGCTGGGAAACTAGAAAAGGCCCTGGACTTCATAAACAAGATGCCTGTGGAGCCTGGTCCAGCAGAATGGGGTGCTCTGTTAGCTGCTTGCATGATCCACAAGGACTCTAATCTTGCTCACTTGGCCTCTGAAAAGTTGTTTGAATTGGACACTGAGAATGTTGGGTACTATGTACTTCTATCAAATATATATTCTGCAGACCGCAACTATCCTCAGGCTGCTTCAGTAAGGCAAATGGTTAAAAAGAGAAAGCTAGCTAAGATCCCTGGATGTACTCTAATTGAAGTTGATGGCCACCCATATGTCTTTAAATCTAGTGACCAATCACACCCTCAATCTTCTGCCATTTATGCAAAGCTCGAGGAATTGATGGAAAAGATGAGGGAGGCTGGATTTCAGGCAGAGACCAGCATAGCATTGCATGATGTGGAAGAGGAGGAAAAGGAGTTAATGGTTAAAGTTCATAGTGAGAAGCTAGCCATTTCGTTTGGGCTTATAACTTCTGAACCAGGAACTGAGATCAGGATCATCAAGAACTTAAGGGTCTGCATTGATTGCCATAATTTCACTAAATTTATTTCCAAGATCACTGAGAGAGTTATTGTCGTGAGGGATGCCAATAGGTTTCATCATTTCAAAGATGGAACATGTTCGTGTGGAGATTATTGGTGAAAGAGTCTTTCTCTCTTTTAAACTCTAGAGGATTGGAATCTGCAGATGTTCATACCATTGACGATTTTGATATTAGAGGAATTGAGATTCAAGCCATCTTAAAATGCTATGTAAGATCTTCTCATCTACGCTACAACCTAAGAAGAATTGTTATTTCCATTGCTCTCGTGATAAAACTTAGTTGTGTTTCTAAGCCCCATCCCAGAAAGACAAGATCACATGACAAATGAATAACGATTTCTGTGTGGTATTGGAGTGATCTTTTTTCACACAGTTCCACTATGTTCATGAAATAAATTTAATTCTTATTAAGAGATACACCATAGGGGCAGTTTAGTGTAAAGGAAGAAAGTACAGAGTGCAATTTATAACTTGGGACTTCATGTGATCTAAGACATCTAACTATGCTTTTTTTTTCTTCCTTTTTTTTCTTTCCTGCAGGACCCTGCTTTATTTCCTGGTTATCTGCAATATACTTTGCTAAATTCTTTTGTTCCATGTGACCATGTTTTGGATAGGATAAATGTTAGACCAACTGACCAAAGTTTGTGGAATTCTTATTTGTCATACTCTAGTGTGGTACTAGTGATCAGTTGTTTCTAAACTAGCTTATAGATTTCAGTAACTACTTCCATTTTTTGGTAGAACGGATTCATCTTATTGTATGGTGTCTAAATGTTTAGTTCCAAAAAACCAACTGAAAGAAATATCAGTCAAATTTCTATCAAGCTGTATCTCTGTGCTGAATGAGTGAATTCTGATGAATTACTTTCCGTTTACAAGCATATTAGCAGTATTTTATAATACAAATGTGTGCATAACTTTATGCAATGTTATTAAATAATATTGTCAAATATCAAGGTCTAGAACTAGGTACGCAAAACCCACCAAGTACATCATTATAAAATTTTTCATTGTTTATTTATTTTTTAGGTTCATTTCTTAAGTTTTCCCAGATGAAATTTTGCTCAGGTAGCCAGTTGATTATCATATGCTGACTCTGTAAGCGGCTTCAAAGTAGTACAATTTGAAGATATTTCTCATACTAGAACCACGAGGTACAAAGTACTCTCAGCTTAATTTGGTTTCCAAAGAAAATATGACTTAAATGTCAAATATTGATTACACTAGAATTCTTGATATCTCTAAACTGCAGAAAATTTGTGAAGTACATCAGATATTCAATTCTTCCATTTGACACATGATGATTGAGTGCCGTCAAAACTTTTCATGTTGGTTTATTCTTTCATCTTCAACTCCACATTGATGGGTCTTACATTTTGATACATAAAAAATTTTCATGTATTCTCCAAAGAACATGGATTTCAAAATAAAGTATAGAAATATAACTCAGCAGTTGATTCCACATTGCTTGACATCAGGTCCCTTGGTTTTTAGCACAAATGGATCAATTCTAACCCATAGCAAAGAAAAGATGGAAGCCAAGAGTACTGACCATATAACAACAATAGTTGGTGTCCTGTTCTGCCGACCCATAAGACCTTTAAGGAATGGGTATAAATGAACAATAACCCAGAAAGCGAAGAAGAGCTTTCCAAAGAGGGGACCCCAAGCTTGGGAACCATTGTTTATGGCATCAGAGATTCCAGCCACAACCCCAACTAGGTTGATTATTAGGATTGTTGTGGGTGGGATTAGGAGTGTAGTCCATTTAAAGGTGTATAGTTCTCCAAATTCTTCATCATCTACTGCCTTAGATGTGACTGTGAAGTTGGTATCTATTCCAGCCAAAATCTTTAGAAGACCTTGTACAACTGCAAAGAGGTGAGCAGATATTCCTCCAATAACCCAGAACTGCTCATTTCTCCACCATTCCTCAATGCTAACACCACTCCACCTAAGCTCTAGAATGCCCGTAGCAAAGATTGAGAGGAAAAGAGCGATGAAGAAGAGACTTGCGAGGGTACTTATCTGAATCAATCATATATAACATCTAGTTCAATAAACATAGAATAGCCCAGCTGGTAATTGGTAAATATCAATGTTGCAAAAATTGCGCCTAGGCGCCGACCGGCCGCGTCGAGTAATGCCGAAATCGGCCTCCTCCGCGGCCGGCCGCCTAGGCGGTCTAGGCGGCCGAACCCCGGTTTTTTTTTTTTTTTTTTTTAAGGTTATTCGCCAAAACGATGCCGTTTTGGCAAATAACCTTTATATATATATATATATATATATTATATATATCTGGCGCCTAGCGTCTTTTTCAACACTGGTAAATATGACTGAAGAAATATGTTTTACCTCTGGCATAATGAATTTTCCAGTGAGCAAGCAGATGGCAGGGAGAGTACAGTAGGCAAGGAGAGGTAAGGATGTGAAAGGATAGACAGTTGTGTTGACATATGAAAACCGCTCAAGCCACTTGAGCTTTCCTCCCTTGTAGCCATACCAAACTGGGCTGTGCCGACTGAAAAATATCTCAACTGAACCAAGAGCCCATCGAAGCACTTGGTTTAGACGGTCTGATAGATTGATGGGAGCTGAACCCTTGAATGCGGCCAATTTAGGCATGCAGTAGACTGACCTCCAGCCACGACAATGCATCTTGAAACCCGTTAAGATATCCTCTGTGATTGAACCGTAAATCCAACCTAACTGTATTTGTAATGGCCATGGGGACCAATACGTTAGAGAATCTTATGATTACTAGCATGCTTATATATAGTGAGACTGACATTCTTTTTTGTACCTCAAGTCCCCATTCTGTCTTGTCTTCATAGCCGCAACTGATCACATGGATGGCTTCTTTGAGTAAAGCTGCTGGGCTTGATGAAGGTGGTACACCACCATCAACCATCAAAGTTGAGGTCACAAATATTGCTGATTGTCCAAACTTCTTTTCAAAATTCATCTCAGACATCAGTACCTCCTTATCATCATTAAATCCTAAGTGTGAAACAATTGGAGATCCCTTAGTAATATGAAGTTAATCTAGAGAAGTTTTCAAAAAAACTAGTAGAGAGGAAAAACTATAAGAAACCTTCAACATTTGCAGCATCGCCATTTACTCCATGTTTAGTATAATTCTCAAGTCTTTTTTTGCGTCCAAAGCATGGGCAACAGTCACAGCTCACCATTTTTGGATGCTTAGCACGCTTTGGAGGGTCATATCCATATAAAGCTTGTCTTCTAAAAACACACCCTGTACCGACATATACAGGGCCTTGTATTCCATCTAGGCCCTTCATGTTAATCTGGTCATGAATTAACATAAAGAACCAGGTTCAGAAGTTAAATATAATACCGTACTAGGTGAAAGAAACATAAAGAACAAGGAAATATATTAGAGTTGAGTTTTTCCTGTAAGATCTTACATCAAAGAAGACTGTGTTTCTGTTTGCATATCTATCATGCTTGTCTATTCCATCAAATCTTTGAGGAAACTGGACATAGCAAACTTTTCTTCCTATTGTTTGATCCATCAAAAAACACATTGCTTCTCTCACTGCTTTGCTGTTGTTTAAGTAATGATCACAATCCAAGTTAAGCATGAAGGGCGCATTGGTAAGAACTCCAGAGACCCGAACCTGCAATTTGCCTCACATAAATAGGAGATCTCATAAAAGTTGATAGAAGATGTATTCTTGTGTTTTGATCATTGAAATAACAAAAGCAGTTATCTTTACCAGGGCATTCATAGCACCAGCTTTTTTGTGATGCTGGAAGCCTGGCCTCTTCTCACGAGATACATAAACAAGGCGAGGAAGTTCATTTCCTTCCACATCAGGTCCTCCACTTTGGCCCAAAAAAACTTGGATCATGCCAGGATGGTCCCTCGTGTTATTTCCTGGCCAAGGTGTTCCATCTTGCATGATCCACCCTCCTGGAGGAACTTTAGTGGCTTTTGCAACCAGTGCGTTAATTCTAACCTTGAACTCTTCATATTCTCTCTGTATGCAAAAGATATGTCATTGCCAACTCTCTGAAATGAGATGAAGTGTTTCAAAAAGTGAAAAAGTAGGTACCTTCATTGCTCGTCTATCCTTGACAAATGTTGCCTGAATTTTGTCCTTGAGGTAATCTATTTTCTGAGAGAAGTACATCTCTGGTGCTCGTGGCTCTATGGCAAACTTTTTGCAGAAGGGAACCCATTTGCGGGCAAATTCAGCAGTTTCTGACAGTGATTCAAAGGTACACATTGAGGCACCATCATCAGATATATAGCATGATATTTTCTCAACTGGGTAGTCCATTGCTAATATTGAGAGGACTGTGTTAGCGGTAACGAGAGGAGGTTCCTTAAAGGGATCCACTGTACTGACAAAGACATCCACTGGAGCTAGCATATTTGGTTCTCCCTCCCTCTCATATCTGCACACAAGTTTTATGAATTATGATTCTTTTAGACCTGTAAAGCTTTCCCTTCAAATCATAGCTGGGAGGAATTCAATTCCTTTCCTTAATTTGGAATTGCAATTTATATTTTCCCAAAGATACATAATACCCCTATTCTTTAATGATCTGTTGTTATCACTGCCTATTCTGGTGATTTCAAATACAAACTTTCTGTGAGAGAAACACATTTTAATTGCTTTTAATGAGTTTGTATAGATCAAAGATATCTCTCACCTGAAAGAAAGACGGTCAAGGTAGGTCTCGCGGTCAATGGGGAACCATTTGGGGAACTGATCAAGGATCCAGGAGAAGGCAAACCAGATCTCACATACTATGGAAGTTAGCCAGAGGCCAATGGCATCATGAACAGGGTTGAGGATTCGATAGCGGAGGAAGAGAGCTAAAATCACCAGCCTGGCCACAATCACCATCCGGTAAGGGTTGATCTTGCTTGATGCAATTGGTACTTTCCTCGATAATGGTTGTCTTGCCTCATCCATCCTATATTTGATCACACATCAATGTTTGTTAGTAATGCATGGAACTGCACTTACCCATTCTTCATCCATACCTAATTAATTAGTTAGCAGTCTATAATTCTACATAGAATAAATTGGTTGTCGCTTAAGATTTATACATACAAGGCCATATTAGGATCAGCATAGTCATCGTGTTCAGCTCCCAAATTTCCATACTGTTGCGTTTTCCATTCATCCATTCTTTCTTTCCAGCTTCCTTCTTTTTTATCATCCCACCTCGCACTCTCGGGCTCTGACATTGGATAGGGATGGATTCTTCTGTGAAGAGATGATCCTTGCATCTGCTGATCTCCATTAGGGTGACTTGATATTTGGAATTCCCCACTTACCTGTGTTCAAGGATTTTTGCATTAAGTCTTTTTTTTTTTGGGTTCTTGTTTTCTACATGCAGCATGTAAAATGAGGGTTTATTTGTTAATTACCGGATGAGAACGCATGCCTGCTATGACAGGAGGGTATTGTACAGTGTCCTCATCTTCTGGTCCTCTTCCATAGCTCATCTTACCATGAAGCATTGTTTCAACAATGTTTCTGTTCGTATTTTTCTCATCATCAATCTTAAATTCATGCTCGATGTCATCAATATCTTCCTCATCTTCATCTCCTTCCACCCTTGGACTCCCTTTTGAAGTCGTAAATTAATTGGATAATGAAGAATGGCAAAATTATGCATGATATTTGATGAATTTGCAAACTCATATAGTATTTACCTTTGAGGCGTTTGTATCTGGTCTTGCACTGGGGGCAGTGTTGAGTTCCTTCTCTTCTCTCATACTCATAGCATGGGCGGCAAGCCGGAAAACCACACTCATTGCATGCCACAAACAGATCTCCATCCACTGTTAGCCCGACTTCATCTCCACATATCTCACAAACTTGTCCAGTCAAATCCTTCAATGCCTTAGGCTGCATGCCCCAACGTTAACGCAAACATCAAATATTGTACTGTTTTTTTATTTCTTAACTTCAATTCCATCCAAATCTGAGAACTTTTATTCAAAACCACATACAGCAATGTGCATGCATATATAGATTGGTTATATTGTAATCATGCTTTTTGTTATATAGTTCCCTTTTCACAAGTTTGGCAGATCCATGGATTATAGATTTTACAAAACTTGGATTGTTTGCAGTTCATTTTCATGAACTTTACTGAATGGGAATAAATTTATGGGGTATTATTAGATTTTGGAGGGCATGTACTCCAGTATCTTGCATGCCATGCCATGCATGTTAAGTTATATATAATGCACGGTCCATAATCAGGTGAGAACCAACCTTAACCTGCGAACTTGTGAAGGATTACACCGCACTTACTACATGATTGCACTGAACTCGCAAGGTCCTCCCGGCATGTCTGGGAGCCGTAGTAGTGCAATCATGTAGTAGTTACAGTGCGATATTTCACAAGTTCACAAGTTAAGGTTGGTTTTTACCTGATTAGAAACCTATAATGCACAATATATAATATATATGTACTATACTACACTTACCTCTTCATGGCCATGAATGACAACCAGCTCATTTCGATTATGAGAACCAGCAACGAGCCCCGCGCTGGCTTCCATGGTAGAGAATGGAGGAGAAGGAGGAGGTTTGGGTGAATGAATGGTGAATGCTGAGAATGGTAAGGTGATCTTAAAGAAGGAAGGATAATATGTATGTATGTATGTTTTGTAGTGTCTCTTTCTGAATGCCTTTTCTTGTACCTAATATGTCAATGTTTAGGGAGGTGAGTTGGGTGTAGAGTCCCCATTGCCTTAGCTTCAAGTTAAGCTTCCCCACTGCCTACTGTATCAACCCTCCCACCAACATACATATGCCCATTCCTTCTCTGCCAGTTTTTGGTTGGTTGGTTGTTTGTCTATTTCATTTATTTTTTTTTTTTAATGATGGAATTAACAGTATAATAATATTCATTTCTTATTCTTATCAATTTGTTAAGAGAAAAAAAAAAAAAGAATTTTGTTGATCTGAGACATGTAAAGGGCTATGTCTAGTAATTGGTGGTCATAGGATTGTTGGGCGGAAGCTGGTGAAGGGTCAAGTTCAGTACCCTGTCTCTCAAAAATGTCGTGACGGTATATTAAGGAAATAAAGTTGTGCCTTCACTGTGAGTTATTTGTTAAACCGTTTGATGTTAACAATTTTGTTGTTTAAGAGATTTGTGAAGCAAGTATTGTTTGGTGTTGGTCCCATTCACGTACCAAAGGCAGTGTGTTGATGTACGTAGCGCATGGTTTCCTAGCAAAGTGTCAGAAGAAAATTGGGTTGCAAGAACTTCATTCTAAAGTTACCCTAAAAAATAAATCAATATAATAAGCGTCTACCAACAATGTCTTTTTGCTTCACCATTTGACCCTTTCTAGGTAGGGCTGTGGACTGTGGTGGGGGAATGTGTATAGCTTGTGAATCAACAGCTTTTTTGTTTTGGGTGTAACTAGAATTTTTATCGTCCAACAGTCATTAATTCTCTCGCTAAATTATAAGCACCTTTATTGGGTGAGACAGTTAATTTGAAAATTTAAGATTGTTCTATATCCAAAAAGTCAAGTCATAATAAGTCTTAATTAATTAATTTATTATAACTTATAAGTACATGTGCCAAGTCAAAACTTGGTAGAGATGTGAGTTTCTTTTTTAATGTTAAATTGATTTTAATTGCTATAAAATTTTTAACAATATATATTAAAATTTAATTATTTGTAAAAATTAATAACCAAATATTATAAAACAAATGATAGATATGATAATGCTATTATAAAGTTAATCTTCAATGATTTAAATCACACATAACTCATTATTAATCATCTTTTAACTTGTTTTAACTAAATTTAAGAATAAATTCAATTCAATTCATATTTTGATTTATTATAAAAAAAAAATTAAAAAAAATCGAGCAGTTATATATTGTGTAAAGTGAACAGAATAGTGGATGGCATTATAGACCTTGAATGTGTATTATGGTCATATAATAACATAATGATGGATGTATTTGTCAAACTTGATTTGTATTAGGATTTTTTAAAATATTGGGTTGTCAAAGCATTAGGATTTTTTTTAAAACTAGAGTATGGTTTTTCAACAAAGGAGGTTTTTTTTTATGATTTTTATTACTGCAAATGATGGTTTTATAAGGGGCCCATTAAAATTGATGAAAAACTGAAGAAGGGTCGCAAGTGTGCGATAGGCGCACATACTGCGTCCAATTGGAACGTGCAATGCATGTGCTAGCTGGGCTTATGAAAGGGCATTGATTTTTTTTTTCTTGTCAAATTTTTTCCTTTTGTCTTTTTTCTTCCATTTTTCCTATTCCCTCCCCTTTCTCTTTTCTATTTGGCATTGTAAAAATCACAAAAAAAAAACAAGCTATCTTGTTATTTGAAATGATGTGATGTTTAGACTTTGGATTTAAAATATGCATTGTTGATTTATTGTTTGGATTTGTTTTAGATTGAGAAATTTGAAATATGCATTGTTGTTTTGTTGTTTTGATTTTGAAATCTAAATTATTATTGAAAATAAATAAATAATTATATGCTCGACAATATAATGTTCAGATTCTTAAATCGAAGTGAAATATGAACCAAATCAAATTCAAGTTGAAATCAAACTCTTTCAAATCAAACCAAACTAAATTTTTAAATTGAATGATTTTATTTTTTTCAAAAAAAACAAAAAACAAAAAAAAAACAAATCCAACTCAAAATGCCCACCATGTTGAAAACACTTTTAACATTGCATGATTCAATTTTAGAAAGATTGATAAAAACTTGTTAAAGTGAAGTGTTGTGTTCAACTCTTGAGTAAGAAATTGTCGTACAACTGGGACACGTTCATCGCCATCTTCACCATTATTCAAAGTTGAAATTTATTTAAATATTGATTTTGTATTTTTGAATAATGATGATAATATTGATGCTTTGCACATAATTTCCACATTTTATCACAAAATAAACTTTTGGCACCTATGCTTCTACTATGGCAATAGAATAGGAATTTAGTGCAAGTGGAAACATCTTAGATGATACTCTTCAAGAATGAAGCCGGAATCAATTGAAGTTCAAATTTGCACAGCCAATTGGGAATTAGCGAGACTGAGACAACAAAAAAAATGATAAATCTACCATCATCCTCGATTTCTTCAACCACTGCAACAAAAAGAGAAGCCAATGACTCTTAGAAAAAAAAAAAAAAAAAAAAGGAAACTATGTGCGCTTTGATTCTTAATGAAATCCCGCTAAAATACAGTCAAAACATACTCCAATACAGTCAAAACATACTCGCTGATGTGGCGGGTTCTGATAAGTTATTTTTTTCATGTGAATCCCAATACAAGTGTCTACATCAAGATTTTGTGTGTGGGAGTACCGAGTACAAATTGAGAGTACAAAATGGGAGTACATGTAGCATTTTCCCTCTTTTTAACAAAGGGATCCCATGTAAACTGAAGATCACAGCCTTACATGTTATTCCAAAATCATATCATATACCACAATTACAAATTCATAATCATAACCTCAAATTTGCCAGTGCAAAATGTTGCAAAACAAGTATTAGCCTCTTCAAGTATAATTAAATAATTTGTTTCATCCTACCAAAATGTTACTACAAAATTAAAGGCCAACAGCTGCATGCCACAAATATACATAACAATTGTATTGTACAACATTAATTTTATACATGATAATGAGATCCTGGTGAAGTCTTAGGGTTCAAGTTCTTACGATTATTGATAATCAAACACCAGCAGAGACTTCCGTTGCTGATTTCTCCTTTTTCTTCGGCTGTTCCTGAGCTTTCTGTGCAATAGCTTTATTCGGAACCAGAACTATAAACATGTTCCGGTCATGGAAATTCTTGCTCTCCAGAGTAGCGGCCTGTTATGTGCACAAGAAGACAGAACAGTAAGACAGACTAAAAGAGGTACGTTCGATCTCAAACTCTAATCAGCACAAGAAGTCAAGAACGATGACGAAGATATCTGTCAGTGACTCAGAGTATATACAAATCATCAAGAAGAGAAACTAATTTAAGTAGAGGGTACAAGAGTGCTTCCAAAGGATAACTAAAGGTATCTGCTCAAACAAAGGGATATATCTATCCAATATCAATGAGAAGACACGCATAACGATGAAGAAAAAAAATTAGTTGGTTTTTTATGTCAGCATTTCCTGATAGTTTATTGGAAAATATTAATTAAAGCAAACATGACAATGCCAAAATTGAGTACTCTTTGGGAAAGAAACTCAGCAACAGAACAAAAAAAAATCCTTCAAGTTTCACAAGACCAAAAGTTTAGGAGGTTAGACAATCTTATATAGGGGTATAATGGACCTAACTAAACTAGTGTTACAATAGGCTTTTTAATTTCAATAATTCAACACCTGTTCTCTTGGGAAAAAATTGTCGCTCATTGAAGAAGGATGTGTATATCCCTTGAAACACCTGTTCTCTTGGCAAAATTAGATATTGACCAATAGATATGTAACTTATCAAGTCTGCATAGAGAATGCTCTTTGCATATTATTAAGACTTGCTCATGATAGAAGAGGGATTAACGCAAGTTGGAATTATGGAGCCTACACTAGAAAGTAAGACGCATGAGTAGTAAAAAAACTGAATATGTACACTTAAATTTTAATGCCACTAGCACTAAAGGAAATAGAGTGACATTGGAAAAAAATGAATGTTCCTGAGTGTATGTGGTTCTGCGACTTTGGTATATAATAATCATAAGACTGAAGCAAGTTGGAAGAAGTCGGCCATTATTTCATGTTACTGTAAAACTGAAATGCAAGTTATACAGTATACTAACTAGGTTTGCTATACTATATCGCAGAAAGTATTGGGCGGCAAAGAAATAAATGCCCATGAGATAGTTGTGTAGATGAGAATGCCAACTTGGATATGTAGGATTACAAGAAACAGATCATATTAGATTGCAATTAAGGCTTAGTCAATTTTATTTGGGCATCTCAATCAGGCATCAAGGAAAGGAAAAGGTCTTCTCAAAATGGGCCATCCTATATTATGTGTACTTTGCCAGAATGAACACTAACTACTAAGTGCTTGTTTAGCCAGCAGTTTATTGCCTGTTATCTACTCCAAAAAGCTATAAACCAGGCCAAACATGGTTTTAACCAAGTGCTTTTGAAGTAGATAAAGAGGCAATTTACCTCTTTTTTTGAGAATCCTCAATTTGAGGCTTTTCCAAGAAGAGCATTTTGGTTTAAGAAACTTATAAGAACTAATGTGCTTACAAAATATTAATTTTTTTTAAAAAATGAACTTTTTGCGTCTTTATCTTTACTTGGGCCAAACAAGCACAAAATCAACATTCCATGTCTCTGTGTAGGGGAACAAGTGGGTTTCATAAATTTATTGACACAGGATTTAAAAAATAAAAATAAATAAATAATCTCCTTGATGAAATGTGGCTTCATTTGAGAGAATTTTCCAATTTCATTTCCCTAACTTAAGATGTTCCTATTTATACAAGGACAGGCAATGAGTCTAGCTCACTTGCACTCACCATTTCCACTTTTTATTGATCACCAATCTACTACAGATGTCACAATACAAGTTTCACCACTAGTTGCGGCCCGTTGCTTCAGATAGCATCTTAACCACTAGTTTATGTTTATGTTCATCTTATGATTTAAATGGAGCTTATGTATTGTAAGATACTAAGATGAATAGTAAAAGTTAGCATCTCTCAACATCAGTATCATTTAACATGTTAAAATGGAGAACATCACGTACCTCTCCAACGTCATTTTGAAATTGCTTGAGTAGCTCAACAGCCTTACTTCTGAACTCATTCTCACGGCCCTTTAAATTCACAATAACTTTCACCTGCAAAGAAATTAGGTTCATATATAATCAGTATGAAAATATTTCTGATACTACATTTAGAGGGCCTGTGAACTGGTAAATGCATGAAACCTCAAATAGCAAGCAACCTTATCACCCTCTTTTAGAAACTTCTGAGCAGCTTTTAGTCGCACAGAATAATCATGCACATCAATGTTGTAACTGCCAATCAAATGTTAAACAAAAATACGTTATGAGTTATTCAAGAGATTCAAATTGAATACGCAACAAGTTTACGGATTTGATTGTATTTCAACAAGATAAAAGATAAATAGATAGAAGCTCTAAAACTTTTTGCCACAATGAATATGAATAATGAAAGCTGAAGCTGCAAAGTTATGCAGTAAAAGGTAGAATCTCCATATTATTGCACTACTCAGGGATCAGGGTAATCGTGTTGTACAGTTTTCCAGACTAGACAAATCTCTTTGAATAATTGAATGCATTATTGAAATCCATCATTGAGAATTATTTAAAGAATAAAAAAATTGACAGATTTTCAAAGCCAACTGTATAATGTAGTAAATGGAAGATTAGACAAAATAAAAGAGGGATTATTTCATCTATTATCAATTATAATATACACTCGAGGTTCAAACAGGAGGCTCTTCTAAGACATTTGAAATCTTAATTCCAAAATGCCCTTGAAACTCTTGATATTTCAATATATGTGCATTTTTTAGTTTTGTTTTCCCTTTATCTTCTTCTTTATACCCTCACCAGAAATAATAATTAACTCCCTACCATCCCATAATTGTAGTCCAATGATGTTTGCAGAATTGTGGATTGAGACACTAGCATGCTTAGCTTTGTTAGTGATGCACTGATGCCCATTATTTTTATTTTTGAAACAAAGGGGATACAACATTAGGCATATTAATGACTCATTTAAACACATTTTTTAAGCTAAAAGTGTGCCAACTATGCATGCTAGACTGCTAGTGACTTAATTTCAATGTCAAAGATAATAGAAGAGCACCAACAATTGAATCTAATTGGAATAAAAATTTAGGACCAAGGTGGACTCTCCAGTTAAACTTCAAAGGGTATAGGTGTAAGTGTGTAATTAATGCAAATGCATAGGTTTAGGTGCAATTGTCAAGGGATTTGAGTGAATTTATCCTAAGCAACAATTCAATAAAAACTACCTAAGCAAATTAAAGAATTAATGAAACTAAAAAAATAATTATCATAGCATTTCTAAGGTTAACATGGCAGAGAAACTTACCCCATTTTCAATTCCTTCAGATCCATGCGGCTGGCTGTAATCCAAATGAATTCTTTAGTAAGAAAAAGTTCTCTTTTTATTTTTTAGTTTTTTTTTTTTAAACAAACAAGACTTCACTAATATTTTTTTTATGTAAAATTTAACTAAAAATTAGAGAAAAGTTCAGTTTTGGTCCTTAGGACCTTAGCTATAGTGACATTCTCAAATTAATTTTCAACTTTGAATTTGTCCACTTATAGTCCTCTAACTTTTGTGGTAGTATCAATTTTGGTCTTTCCATTAGTAAAGTCAATGACATTTTTGTAAAGTCAGTATTTGTTTAATTTCTTGTTTTCAGAATTTAATCTTTTAATTAAGATTTCAAATGTCTTAGAAGAGCCTCCTGTTGGACCTCAATGTATATTATAATTGATAATAGATGAAATAATCCCTCTTTTATTTTGTCTAATCTTCCATTTACTACATTATACAGTTGGCTTTGAAAATCTGTCAATTTAAAAAAAAATAAAAAAAAATAGTTCATTATTTATTTGAATCAAAAATAAAACTATAATAATACTTTTAATGTTCATCTTCTCAATAAATTAAATTAAATGACAATTTGGAAAAAAAAAATGAAAATTTAGATGTCCTTGGAATTAACAGATTCAACCCCAAAACTAACAAAAGGATCAAAATTGATATTGCAACAAAAGTCGGAAGATTGCAATTGAGCAATTTTGAAGCCAAGGACTAATTTAGTAATTTTGAGGATGTCAATATAGTCATGGGATCAAAACCAAACTTTTCTTGAGAAATTAAGTTAAAAGAAATTATATGTACCGGCACTTTTCTTCTGCTGGTCTTTTTTCTTCTTTTGCAGTTCGTATCTGTATTTACTACATAGATAAAAAGCAAAATATTAATAATCTTAAACATTTAATAATGCTGGAAACATAGGTTACTATAATTTTATCACTTGAAATGCCAACATTTTGGTCATTATGAATTAGAACAGTTGCATATCTCAGTCCCAAACACGACAATGCAATGTCAAATGCAACGAATTAGTGAGCTCCTACATTTTTGTACAAAAGCTGAAACCAGAGTAAAGAGGTGCATCTTACTTGTAATCCATTATTCTAACAACAGGAGGGTCTGCTTCCGGAGATAAAATAACCTACCAAATTTCAGGGAAGCATCACAGACAATCCAAAGGATATATTTCATATGGTGAAATATGGCACCAAGCATGCTGAATTTCAATTTCAATCTTACCAGTGAAATATGCCCTCTTTTGAAAAGTAAGGAGTGTTTTTTTTTTTAAATGACAGCAATAGAATATGTTTGAAAGTTAAAGCAAGTATTAAGTATTTATGCACATTTCCTGTTAACATTAACACCCAACACCAAGATCTATAAGATCAAATCTAATAAGTAAACCATTTATCCAAGAAGTCTTATGATCTGTTGAATGATTATACAGCAAAAGGACTTCTATTTAGTGAAATGAATACTAATTACACTCACTTTATTTAATTCCTCCCAACACTTACACCACACACTCACATCACTTTACTAGCACACACCACTACTTGCTCTCTTGACTCTCACTTTCACTCTTACATTACAATTAGGAGCATTACCCCATATTTATAGCAGTTGTATGTCAGTTAATCTACTGATCTTGAAGCTTCTAGAATGGTGCTAACTATTTAACAACCAGTGTAATTTTCTAGAGAATGAAGGAATGTCAAGGATGCTGCTAGCTATGTTAGAAAGAACTAGAATTTTCTACAGACTGGAGGAGTGGTGTTGATGCTTCTCTTTAACATGATCAACCAATTAAGTAATATATCTCATCTCCTTTTCATACTTTCCTGTTAACAAGAGAGCAATAATTTTCCTAATTAAGGACCTTAGGCATTGTCTGACCTTCTTACCCTGGACATTCCTAAGAAGAAATTTTGAAGTCACTTCACCTAAGGTTTCACATCTTCCTCTTACATTATCCATCTTGTAGGCATTTCAGGCTCAGGAGTTAAAGAAATTTCCAATACATAATTAAGCTAATTATGTTACTAACATAATCACAAGAAACAGGAAAGGAAATCTCGAATGTTTAGGACTTCAGAGTAAGGAACATACCAAATCAAGTTCAGCATCCTCAGCTTTTTGAACAGCTTCACTTTTTGACACTATCCCAACCTGCATAACAAAACAAGATAACTCAATTTAATACTTAAATGCTCACTTGCAAAAAGAAATACAATACTCATGCTCCGAAATAACTAACTAACCATATTTTGTTGTTGATCTATAAGCCTGACTTTGTCTGACCTATTGAAAGCCACCACAGGAAACCAAGTATAACATACTGTCAATTCCTATCAGAATTCAGTAAACACAAAAGCGAACTACGTAATAATAAACATATATTTACAATCCAAGTACGAACGAGTAAACAAAATGAGAAACTACTAAATAAGAATTGAGTAATCATCACAATAATAAATAAAATACACAATTTCCATGAACTCCATAACGCATTCCCTTAAAATTGAAGAAAAAAATGAAATGAAGTTTTTAAAAACTGAGACCTGATGGAAGAGATATCAAGGCCTTCATCGTCGTCGTCATCATTATAGTCGCGAGGACGACGGCCGCCGCCATAGCGGGCGGAGATGGCGGTGGAGGTGGAGGAGGAGGTGGAGAGAAAGAAGGTTGGAGAGCGGAGGCGGAGGGTGAAGAGGGTGGAGTGATGATAAGGAAAGGAGGGGGGATTGGGTTTAGAGAGAAAGGGTTTGAATGTGAAGGTGCTACTGCTGGCGAGACCAGCCATGGCGGAAGGGAGTATGTTTTGGGCACTAAAAATGAATCTTCTTATCCATAAATTCAAGCCTCTCCCTTGAAACGCTCCGTTTATATTTCTATGGAAATAAATACGGAACGGAGGAGTACTCTTTAGAGAAAACAACACTTTGAAATTTCCCCCCCTCAAGTCACAAATTTCTTACACTTAAACCCCCTCACGTTTTTTTTATCTTCATGTAACCCCCTCCCCTTCCTCCAATCCCACCCCTACAAAACCACACAATTTATAGTATCTCCCTAATGTAGTTATTTTGTTCTCAAAAGATTGAATCCTCAACCTCAAGGGCCCCACGCCCTATAAAATCTGACATCGAAACATATATTCACATAAATAGTAAACTTTATGCATACAAATATGAATTTTATGCATACAACTAGTGAACATTATATATACAACATTGATTTGCATAATATCATATTTTTAAGTAAGGGGGTGAGGTGTGCAAAATAAGTCCAATGATGTTCTACAAATAATGAACCTACAGTGAAAATATACATGTCTGAATAATTAACCTTCAATCAATTTGTACATGATTGATAAGTGTATTTATATCCATGTTTCTACCCCATATATAAATATATTTTAAGTGGAAAATACTTTGGTTTTATGCAAAATGTGTCTTAATTCATTTGTCCATATCATATCCTTATGTGCATAAATTGTTGAATTGAAGACAATTGTATGTCTTTCGAGACATTTTGAATGAATCTCGAGTCAATGGGAGTCAGGGTGAAGCTAAGGAAATGGCTAAAATACTTTCAACTTTCAAGTGAGGCAAAGAGTAACCAGCTTTCAATGTTTTTATCACAAGGACAAATCAAGACAAAAGTGGAACAAAATATCAATGCATTGCTTCTCACACGGCATGACCAATGCTCGATATTTTAACCAAATCAAGTGATTCTTGTGCCATTCGAAAGAAAACTCAAAGGGATACAACTTTTATAAAGACCTCAAAGTCAAAATCGGAAGTTACAAGGGTCGAAATCAACTTTGAAGTTGAAGTTGAAGTTACAAATTTACAGGTTTTCGCCCAAAATGACCTAATCATATTTTGATGTAAGAATGTCTAATTGGAATGCTTCTAATGGCATTAGAAAGCCAACTCGAAGGGCTACAACTCCTGTGAAGACCTCAAAGTCAGAATCTAAAGTTACAAGGGTCAAAATTGGTCTTGAAGTTGAAGTTACGCTGCAGAGTTCTTGGATTTGCAATCGAACTCCTTTAATCAACGTTTTCAAAGTTTCGAAAATTGCATTTTGACCCCATTCTTTACCTCACTATATATAGCATCATTTTCCTTCAAACCTTAGTAAGGATGGTGGCTTGGGAAGACAAAGAGAGTGAAGAGTAGTGATATAATTCTTCATACTCCAAATGAAGATGGAGAGATCCCTACACCTTGGAATAGTATATCACATCAAAGCTTAAAAATATAAGATTGGAAGCTTCAAGTGACACTGAAATGCGGGGGAAAAACTTGGAAGAACATTATTCGAGAGAATCTCTTCCCTTTTCTGTTACCTTTTTTTATTTCTTGCATCTTCCTTAATATTTGTGTAATTCAAACAATATTAGGCTATTAGCCATGGTTAGCTAAGGCTACTTTGAGATTTTTGGTTACAATGTGTTTATGAATCTATGTGCCTTGTTCTTAAATTCTTCAATGAAATATATATATTTGAGTTTTATATCTTGTGTTACAATTGTGGTTTATATTATTGATCCTTGTAATTAAGGATCCAAATTACTCGAGTACATGTTTCATTGCTATATATATTTGTGTCTTGATAGGAGTTAAGGCACCCACAATTGCACTTGGTTATTGCACATTGAGAGATGGCATTTTGGATACAGATTTTTGTTTCTTAATTGCTTGTTCTTGAATTGTTTGAGTAATTATCTCATGAGAATGAATATATTCACTCACAATATTTGGATTGGAATTATGTGAGTAATTAAATTCCTCCCAGTTGTATGCAATCTTTCACGCTTGATTAAGACCAAATAAATTATTTCACTTTAGATTGGCACTAGGTGATCAAACGTAACACATGACCCCCAAAAATCTAACTCTTTTTCATTTTCATTCAATTGTATTCCCAAGTTTGCTTACCTTGATTGTATTGAACAATCTCTTATTACGCTAGAAATAGCTTATCGTGAATAAATAGCTAGTGTTTCCCCTACTTCCATGTGGATCAATAATCTCAGAATATTCTAGGTATTTGTTTGTTGTTTTGTGTTACAACCAATGTTCAAATAATGAACCATATGCACACAAATAGTGAACCTTATACATATAAATAATAAACTCTCAATTTTTTTCATACTATTTTTTACACATTCAAATAATGACCATTACATGTAAAAATAATGTAGCATATACATAAAAGTAATGCACTTTATACATAAAAGATAATATATCATATACATAGAAATAATGTAACTTATGCATAATCGATCTAATTAATAGCATTGATTTAAGATGGGTATTTGCCTTAGCCCATGAGTAAGGAGAAGAGTTAATTTGTTCCTTTTTTTTTTTTGAAAGATAACCAAACTTTTCATTAAGAAATAGTATTGCTTTTACATAAAGAAACAGCCAAAAAACGTGGGATATAATCAAAATATTCAACTCTGTTCTCCCCCGCCTGGCCAAGAGCTTTTTTAGCAAGAAAATCTACTATTGTGTTTGCCTTTCTACTCACAAACCGAAAATTTACCATAGGCATTTGATCCAGCAAGTCACGAATTTCTTGAATAATAGCCCCAAAAGGCGATAAATCGGCACCTCCCGTGACCGCTCGTGTAACAACCTGGGCGTCCGTCTCTACAATGACCCTCGGTCATCCTTTCCCCATTATCCAGCTTAGCGCCTCTCTAGCTCTCATGGCCTCAGCTTCTTGAACCTGAAATAGACCATTCTTGGCAAACATGACTACCCACAGCACCGAGCCATCCCAATCAAACACACTCCATCCAAAACCCATTCGGCGTCCTCCATGGTCCATTGCTATGTTGACATTCACTTTTATCTCCCCATGAGTCAAAACTGCATTTTGGGCCGGTTGGTGATCAAAAACTGGAGTTTCCTCATCACGACACTGCTTCCAATTTCCAGCATAAATTAAGGCCTGTTGGACAACATCCCCCGGCTCCAAATATTGTTGCCGCCATACGTTTGCATTTCGTGCTCCTCATATAGCCCGAGCCACCATCACTATTTTCTCACGCATCTCGAGTGAAGGAATGGTCCACATCTCCTCAAGCCAAACATTCATAAAATCAACATAAGATAAGGACCAATTATCATTTAGCATGAGCCAACATTTATGAGCATATTCACAGTTGATGAAAAGATGAACAATACTCTCATTCGCCTTTCCACACATCACACACACTTGATCACAAGGTACTCTTTTAATTAAAAGAGCATCCTTTGTAGGCAGACATATTGTGCAAAGATTCCAGAAAAAACATTTGACTTTTCGGCGGTAATCTCAAATTCCACATCCCCCTCCACACAACACCCTCACCAAGAGCCTCACCCCCCACAGCCACCCTATATCCACTCCTTATCGAATAAACCCCCTTTTTCCTCCCCACTCCAAAACAGTGCATCCCGTCTCAACCCATTAGGAATAGGCACACTCAAGATAAGGTTCACATCACGCTCACAAAATATATCCTTTAAGACCCCAATGTCCCAAGATTTGGAGTTTACACAGAAAAGATAGCTCACATTTGGGTTGCCTAGATAATCCTGAACCGGGGTCACAATATACGGGTTGTTTGTATCGGGCAGCCATGGATCCCCCCAAACTCTAGTTTGCTCACCGTCCCCAATCCTCCTCCTAACCCCTTGCCTCAAAAGATTTTGGGTTTCCCGAATACTGGACAACGAAAGACGGATTAGAGCCCTTATTTGCATCAAGGAAAGAACATTTAGGAAAATATCTTGCTTTAAAAACTTTTGTGACCAACGCATCGGGTTTTGTCATAAAATTCCACCCCTGCTTTCCCAGTATAGCAAGATTCATTTCGCGAACTCTACGGAACCCCATTCCACCGTGCTTCTTTGGTACACACAAATCATTCCACCTACTCCACCTTATACCCCCTCGTTCCCGTTTCTCACACCCCCACCAGAAAGAGTTCATGATCCTTTCTATCTCCTCACTTAAACCTATTGGAAGAAGGAACACATTCATTGCATAATTTGGTATACTCTGAAGGACTGTTTTCAAAAGAACCTCTCTTCCTCCCCTAGATAGAAATATGTTTCCCCACTGCATAACCCTTGCTCTAACTTAACCCTTATAAACCCCAAAATGTCTCTCTTTCTCCTCCCAATATACCCCGGCAAGCCCAAATACTTCCCATGCCCCTGCTGTTCATGAACCCCTAAGGTATCACAACAGCCTCCTTATCCTCCCAATGCACGTTCCTGCCAAACACAATTGATGTCTTACCCAAATTCACTTCTTGACCACTAGCCTTCCCATAATCCCCCAACACATCACGAAGAATCTCAGCCTCAAAATTATTAGCCCGAAAGAAAAAAAAGACAGTCATCCGCGAAGAACAAATGAGATATTGTTGGGCCTCCTCTCGCCACCCTCATCCCATGTAAGAGCCCTTCCCCCCTCTCGCACCCTCAACATAGCACTAAGACACTCCGCAACTAGGATAAACAAACACGGAGATAACGGGTCCCCTTGTCGTAACCCCCTCCCTGGCACCACTGGGCCCCACTCCTTTCCCTCAACCAGAACCGAATACCGCACCGTGGATACACACTCCCTCATCAAACGCACCCAATGATCACTAAACCCCATTTTAGACATAACTTTACACAGAAAACCCCACTCAACCCTATCATATGCCTTACTCATATCCACCTTTAATGCCCCATAACCACCCCGGCTCCCCGGTTGACATTTCAAACAATGGGCAGATTCAAACGCAATAAGAACGTTATCCACTATAGACCTCCCTAGAACAAAGGCACTCTGGGCAGGATCTATAATAGAGTTTAACAACACACGCA